CCCTCTGTCCCAGGGGATTCTGCTCCAACAACGCCCCCTCCTGCCAGCCCCGCCCTCTCCGCTGGCTCCTTTCCTGATCTCTAAGCTGGATCAAATCTTTTCTTATGAAAAGGTAAAAACAACCCTCCCTTCTCCCTCAGCCTGGGTCCTCAGTCCCTCTGGCTCACTGCTTCTCTTCCACGTCCATGGATTCACCCCCGCCAACCACTGGTCTCCTTCCTCCCTCAGCACTGACCCCTCCAAGCCCACTTTCTGTTTCCTGTCCTCCTCTGGAAGGACTCCCTCACTGGCCCGGTCCTGCACCTCCATCCCCTTCACATGTACCTTCCACAGCAGGTCCCTGGGGGCTCGGGGGTCTGCACACATCTATGTCCCCTCACTCCGGAACCCCACACCTATCAGGCTGACCGCGGACCACTCACGGACAACTCCCCTCAGTCTGCACATACAACAAGATGCTCACCTCTCTCCAAAGCAGGGAGATGCAGTTAAAACAACTCAGAGACAGTCAATCTTAACATCATCAGTGAAAAATCACGCGGGCATCACATACCTGCTGATGTGAGGGAGTGGTCTTCCTCCCCACAGACCCTGGCCCCAGGCGCACCCCAAGAAAACCGCAGGCAAACCCAAACTTGGAGAGTTTCTACAAGGCCAGAACCCCTCGAAACAGCCAAGATCATGGAAAGAAGGAAAGTCAAAGAAACTGTCACAGACGAAAGAAGAATGACACGTGACAACTGAACACAGGGTAGGATCCTGGATTGGACCCTGGAACAGAATCCAGTGGATAAACTGGTGACATTCAAATAAAGTCTGGAGTTTGGAGTTTCTTAGTTGTAGCATATACACCCGGATGATGTAAGACGCTAACAAAAGGGGAGGCTGGATGGAGTATACGGGACTTCTGCACTGACTCTGCAACCTTTCTGTAAATCTGAAACTATTCCAAACTGAAAGGTTTGTGTTTTTTAAAAAAACCCATCACTGATATCAAGATCTTTTCCACCCGTCATTAGATTTTCCATTTTCACCCCGGCAAAGAGCAAAATGTTTGGTTGTACGCAGAGCTGGCCTGGGTGTGGAGGAACAGGCCTCTCCTGCAGGACTGGTGGGAAGGTACACAGAGGCTCACACAATACAAGAGTCTTCCAAAATTCAACACGCATGAGTCCTCTGACCCAGCAATTCGTCCTCTAGGAGTCTGTATCAGAGATGGCCCCCACACAGGGGTACTCACCTCAGCGTTGCTAGAAGCTACCTAACTGTCCATCAGCAGAGGACCGGGCAGACCAGTTTTGGCCCACCCGCATAAGGGAACGGCATGCAGCCATCAAGACAGAACAGGGAACTTCCCGTGCAGAAATGCAGTTATCTCCGAGATACATCATTGCATGAAAAAAGCCCAAATGGTGTTCACTGTAGGCCATCATCTGTGTGTAAGGAAGGAGATACATACTTCCTTATAAAATATGCATAAAATGTCTCCAAACGGATACACAGGAAACTGATAACAGTGGCTGACTGTAAGCAGAGAAGGGAGGTGCACTGGGGGATGCAGCCAGAGGAAAGCTTTCCACCCTTAAACCCTAGTTGATCTTTTGCATGTTGAGCCATAGCAATATTACATAATCAAAAACGTAAGGAAAAAATTAACAAATCAAAGAAAATGTTTATAGTTATAACTTAATAAATGTATGGTTTATAATTATGAAATTTATAATTTATAAAATTAAAAATTTTAGGTCAATCATTTGATTTTTAGAATTTTATTCTATTTATTTTTTTATTCAAGTATAGTTAAGTTTACAATGTGTCAATTTCTGGTGCACAGCATGATGTTTCTGTCATGCACGTACATACATATATTCATTTTCATATTCTTTTTCACTATAGGTTACTACAAGATGTTGAATATAGTTCCCCATGCTATACAGTAGAAACTTGTTTATCTATTTAATACATAGTAGTTAGTGTCTGCAAATTTTTTAATTAAGTGAAATTTAAAATAAAATATATTAGGGGGTAAGGGGCATAGCTCAGTGGTAGAGCACGCACTTAATGTGCATGAAGTCCTGGGTTCCATCCCCAGTGCCTCTGTTAAGGGAAAAAAATTAAAACAAAAATAAAATAAAGGGGGGAGGGTATAGCTTAGTGGTAGGGTGCATGCCTAGCGTGCATGAGGTCCTGGGTTTAATCCCCAGTACCTCCATTAAAACAAACAAACAAACAAACAAATAAACCTAGCTACCTACCCCCCAAAATAAACTAGTTAATAATAAAAATAAAATATAATAAAATAAAATTAAAAAGATACATTAAATCTTTTTTAATGGGGGAAAAAAAAAGAGCCTGTTCTGCAAACCCATATTTGCCCTCCCCAGGCTGGCCTCTGGTCTCCTCCCACTGCTGGGTGAGGTGACGTCATCACAGCCCTCTGTCCCATCAACTGCGTCATGTCCCTGCCCAGCACCTGGCCCTCCGTCCCGCCCTGAGGGTTTGCAGATGGATTCAACTACTGATTAGTTCCCTTTGGTGAGATGTGCCCTTCACTGGTCCCGCTGTAACATCCCTAAGCCTGTACTAACAACATCCTATTTGCCAAAGTAAAATTATTCTCTTTTGCATGATGGTCCATTTTTCATGTGGGAGGTTCTGAAGGCTGATGGCAGATGTAGGATGGAGGTGGCATTGAACCTCCCTCTCCGGCTGTAAGGAACCCATTTGGGAAGGCAAAGTTCATCAACATGGGGATATATGGGAGCAAACACAAAGGGGGGACCTGAGCCCAGATTCTGAGGCAAGTGGAAGTCTTAAGGCAAGTGAGGGACACAGGCAAGGGCAGAACAGGAGGTAGGTGAACAACGTGGCAGAGATGCAGAGGCAGGCACACCTGTGTGGGGTGGGGAGGTGAGTGGCGGTTGGCCAGGAGGGTGGGGTCAGGTTACGGAAGCCTTCGCACCATCAAGTCTGGACCTTTCAGGAAGGACCCACCCCCCCACCCCCCGCCACAGGTTCTGTTTCATTAACCAGCAGCCCAAGAGTGACGTGAAAAACCCCCGAAGTTTTCAACTCCTGCCAAGGACAATTCCGATTCTAAAAATAAGCCTCAAAACCTTACCAGGAGAAACCAACCACAGCAGAAGCCACCCAACAACTCCCCGTCAGTATAAACACACTTCAAAGGCCCGACGGCCCAGAGCCAAGCGTTCCTCTTCCCAAATCACGTCGAAACACAGCGAAAACACAAGTCTCGTAACTTCTGGTGTTGCTTCATTCTGACCCATGCCCCTTTTCAATATCCCTCCCCCAAAAGTCTCTTATTAATCATTTTCTAAAATGATCCCATATTTCTCTCTGCCTTCTTAAAGTGTGCAAAAAAAAAATAAACAAGAAAATGCTTGCGTCGGCATCTTTTGGTTCTGTGATGCTCCCGGCAGCCCCCATCCCACCCCTCTCTTTGCTGCTTCAAAGCTTCCAAGGACCAGGAAGCCAGAACCCAGCGTGTAAGAGCTCTGTAAAGTCAGAGTTACTGGTTTCCTTGGGTGCCTCCCATAAGGAAAGTAAACAAGCCCTGGCATTTGTCTTGGTTATAAATGTGTGTGTTACTTGAGAGTCTCATATTTGCTTATTTCCTCAATTCTGGCTATATTCCAGGTAACCAAGGGTACTGTAACTGTCATGCTTTTGAAAAACCAGAGAACCCTCTCGTCTTTAGCAAGACTTAAGGTGAGAACAGAGTGGTAAACGTTTACCCACTGCAGTCTTGTCAGGCTGGCCCCGTCTCCCTGGCCTATCCCACACACTCCCAGCCCTCGATGACATACGCCTTCCTCCTGCATCCTAATTGCTTCCTGTCTGCAAATTAGATACTGTTTCCCTAACTGGACCGGATTATACCCCTCCAGGGGAAGGGCTGTGTTCCACGTTTCTCTGGATTCCCCACAGAGCTTTGGGAAAGCAGCGCAGACTACCTCCTTGCAGAGCTAGGATTTCACGGGGATACAGAGCATAGGCAGCCGATGTACGACGGGGTCTACAATGCAGGATCTTTAGAGAAGAGCTGCCTCGAAGCAAGCCAGCTCTCTGTTTCTGACCCCAGCCCTACCAGGACAGCCAAGGCTGAGCCCCAGGAGCTGCGCAGCGCCCGAGAGCGCCACGATCATTCTGCACCCCTCTCTGAGCCGCCAGGCCCTGCCTTCTCAGATCTCTCCTCCCTTCCTGACACCTCACAACAGGCCGGTACTCGGGGCCTGAGCCTGGGCACCTGGGACTGCTTCTTCCCGTGGGGCTGTCTGGGTCTCACTCCTGACCCTGGTTGTGGGGCCCTGCTAGACACTGTGCCCAGTGGCTGTCAGGTGCGTCCGGGGTTGGGGGCTGTCCTGGCTGCCTGTTCTCTGCAGGACTCCAAGCCCCACCAGCCCACCCCCCGCACATCAGCCACTCTGTTTCTCATAAATGGCAAGCCTTCTCGTCTCTGATGATGGACTCAATAAAAAGCACTGGACGAAAAAAAAAAGTATTTTGGGACAGTGGTTTTCTTTCTTCCAGTTTGAGATATAACTGCCTTACAGCACTGTGTAAGTTTTTAAGGTGTACACAGTGGAAGGATTTGACTCACATCCATCATGGAGTGATTACCACAACAGGTTTAGTGAACAGCCACCCTCTCACGGATACAGCATTAAAGAAACAGAAATAAAATTCTTCCCCTGCAGTGAGAACTCTTAGGATGACTCTCTTAATAACTTTCATTTATAACGTACAGCAGTGTTATCTTTGTCATGTTGTGGTTTACATCCCCACTACTTATTAATTTATTTTATATTTATATTAATTTATAACTGGAGGTGGAGACGTGTGTATTTTGTAAATAAAGAAGAAAAGATAGACAACATTGTAAAATGACTATAACTCAATAAAAAATGTTAAAAAAAAAAAAAGAAGAAAAGACAGGTCTTCCTTACAGAAGAATTCCAAATATGTGTAGAAGCCCCTACCTCTAGGAGGCAAAGCTTGATCCCTCCCCTCCCTCTCTTGGGCGTGGGCTGGATTTAGTATCCTGCTTCTAAACAGTCTAGGAAAAGAGAAAAAGAGTCACTACAACAGAGAAACCTGGCAAACACCACCTTAACCTAGAGATGACGGTTAACATTACTAGCGATGATGTCACGCGAGTATCACGCACCCTCCCCCTGACGTGATGTGAAAGGCACTTCATCTCTGTGGCATTCCTCCCCAAAATGCATAACCCCACTGGAATCATGAGAAAAACATCATACAGATCCAATGTGAGGGAAATTCTACCAAGTCTCTGCCCCGGACTCCCCAGAAACAGTCATGAAAAACAAGGAGAGAATGAGAAACTGGAGGAGACCAGAGGAGACTGGGAGATGGAGCGATTAAATTCCTGTGTGAGACCCTGGAACAGAAAAAGGGACATCAGCGAAAACACTGAACTCCAGATAAAGTCCTAGAGTGTGGTCAATCGCGAGGCACCCATGTCAGTTCCCTAGTTGGACAAATGCACTGCGGGGATGATGTAAAGTATTGATGTGGGGCGGGGGTGCTGGGTGGAAGGTAAATGGGAACTGTCTGTACTAACTGCTACTTCCTGCAAGTCTAAAATTAAACTATAAGATGAACTGGAGCAGGCAAGCCTCACCCAAAAGCATTCGAGTTCATAAGTTTCTTAAAGGTTTATTACTTTTTCTAAGAATTTTTTTTTCTAACGTGTATTCTGGTTAAGCGGGAAAGATTAAGTGGAGGCAGAGGTGACGATCAGGGTTTCTGTTATTTATCATTAAGGATGAATGAATGGATGGATGGATGGACGGACAGATACATAGACTGGCTGGCTGATTGACTGACTGATAGATATCCCCAAATTTAAGCAAAAAGGCCTCAAAGTTTAATGAAATCTTCAAACCTCCTCTCAACTAAATGCACATTAATGCCCTGCCACAAATCGGTATCCCCTCCCTTAAGATATAGATTTCAAAACTCTCACAAAGTGGTTTTAACCCTAAGTAGGTGATAAATTCTTCTAAAAATACATCCTCCTGCTGCGTACAGAACAGTTTTCTAGATCAACACACAAAAGGGCAAGGCCTTCAGAGAAGATAAAGCAGCTTTTTCACCACCAACTTAATCCTCTAAAATCAGTTCTTTCAGGAAGGGAAAAAAAAAAAAGAATAGTCAATTCCACTCCCCGCCCCCACCATCCGGCCCCAGCAAAGAATCCTGCTCTGAGAATATGTGCATCACAGAAATGACCCCAGGAAAAAAGGCATTCCTTCTGCAAAAGGACACACATGCAAATATCGGGTCTCCTAAGAAAATAGCCAAGTCTGTACACAAGGTGGAGAACCAGCTGGGGAGGCCAAATTGATCTTGTCTTTTATGGTCTCTGGAGAAAAATCTTCTTTACGATAATGTGAACATGAGTGAAAACTGTTACAAAAACCCTAAGGAACTCTCTGACTTCCACATTTATTAAATCGAGTATTGCTCAAAATTCTTAAACAAAGGGCCACTGGCATGTAATCTTTAAAATACAAAGATTCACGATGGGGAGGGTATAGCTCAGTGGTGGAGTGTGTGCTTAGTATGCACAAGGTCCTGGGTTCAATTCCTGGTACCGCTGTTAAAAAAATAAATAAATAAGAACCTAATTACCTCCCCCTCAATAAATAATAAAAGTAAATTAAAATGTGGTATTACTTTTAAAAATACAGATTCTGCAATGCTATTTGTTGTAATGGAATCTAGCCTGTAAATGGCACCAGAAAATGTCCCAGAAGAATGGTATTTCCTACACTCTACATTAATAAGAAGGAAGAATTTAAAGAAAAGGGGAAATTGGGATCCCCAATCCTCTTTGGAAAAGGAGATGAGAAACTACACTCTGGTTCTTAGGCTAATGGACCCCAGATAAGTTCAGATTCGGTGTACCTCATTTAAAAATACAGAAGCCCACAGTGAAAGGTTTCAGAGAAACGTTTTCAAATTCCATCTTCTGAATTCAGCCTGTTTCTGCAGTGTGATATGTTCCACAAGTCAAAGATACAGTTACCACAGTCTGAGAACCAGGTTCAAATATGGCCTATCTACAAATTACAGTGATTTGTGGAATGGAAAATGCTTTCACTGGGGAGCTGGGCTGCTCCCCCAGAATCAGAGAGGGCAATTTTCCCCTGGATGCTTGGTGAAACCACATCCCCAGTTTCCAAACGAATGAGTTTTTGATGAAACAGCACAATGAGAACATTAATAGCATTGCATCAAGAGACTGAGTTATATGTACCCTGATTACAACTTCATTTAAAAAAAAAACAACCCAAAAAAACCCAGGCATCAGGACGCAAGGTGAAGCTGCCAAATAAGGAAAACTTATGGCAGCTGTTTCGTTCGCAGGGTGAGATTATCCCTGATATTCTTTATCTTCCATGCTCTCAGTTAATACTGCTATTTTTTACGTAACTTTTAAAAATTCAATGCGTCCTCTATGAATAATCTTCCTGGACTCAAGGCGAAGGCAAGTCAATGCTAAGCTCTTAAATTTATCCCAGGAACGCTATCACTTTTAAAACTCCATGAACGAAGTAGCTTAAACTCTCCATCTGTATTTTCTCTTAAGTTAACACCCCAAAAGAAGAAAGTGCCTCTGGCTTTAAGGATCCTGGTGAATTAACTTCCTACCTACTAGAGGTGAACAGGGAACTATCACACAGACACCCTTAATATTTCCTTTCTTCTGTCCATGCCTTACACTCTATGAAATTACACACAGTTCTTCTTACTGATATACCTGTAGCCAAGGGGCAACTCTATTAGCTACAAAAGTGTTACCTGACTGCCCAGAGTGCCAGTGCAGGTTCAGACAATAAGACGAAATTGTGAGGACCCAGGAAAGTACCACTTAGAGCTCAAACGTTAAGATAACACCAGTGAAGTTCGGAACAGGCCACAGGCAGCCAGATGGGCGCCAAAGACATCATAAAAATGTCCGTACAGAAGAAAGGTAGGGTTAAGGAGGCCTATTTGCATGATGAGATGGACCACCTCGCCTTCTGAGCTATTTTTATTACAGTAAAAGCACAAACAAATAGAAGACCGCTGCAGTGCCAAGACTCTAGGACTTCCTGGATCTCATTTTCCCACCGTCACTGTAGCTTGGGTGGATTCATCTTCAGTGGGAGAAGTTTAAGTCCCTGATGGGCATCAGCCCATTCTGAGCGTGGAACCTTTGCTCGTGGGGATGGTTAATGGCAACAAAGCAGGCACTTTCTTCTTGAAAATGAACTTGGGCTGGAAATTCCTTCCAGCTCCTTGGATCTCAGTGGTTCCCCTTTTACTGTCCTCGACCCTGGGCTAGTCTGTGCCTCCTCCGAAGCTTTGCTGAGCTCTTCTGCTCATTGGAAATGTTGTCCACCCAGTCCTCATGTCCTGGCTCCTACATGTTCTAAGGCCTCTGCTTTTCTATTGAACTTTCCCTAACTAAAGCTCCCGGCCCTCAGCTCACACCTCCCTCCTCTCCACTTCTTTCAATCCTTCCAGAGTCACAAGGGCATTGGTGAGCACTGGCTTTTCACCTGTGTGTGTTTCCATTTCCACTCACAGCATAAACCTCTCAGGACCAAGAACCATTTCTTCTGTGTCCTTTTTAAAGGGTAGGGTAGGGGGGAGGGTACAGGTCAGTAACAGAACACATGCTTAGCATGCAGGAGGTCCTGGGTTCAAGCCCCATTACATCCATTTTAAAAAGTAAATAAATAAACCTAATTACCTCCTCCCCTCCCCCAAAAAATTTAAAAAAATAAAAATTAATGCCAAAGGTAGCACTTTCTTTTCCTGCAGCCATCCAGTAAGAGCAACTGAAGGCACAGAGGGAAGTTTACTGGCCAAAGATAGTGAATGACTTCAATTTATTATTTTAGAGGCTTAAGAAATCGATCCTCCATCTCAGCTCAATCACCAAAACACTTAATCCATGAAAACATTACAACAAGGACATTTTTACAAATGTGAATAAGAGCATCTATTATTCATGCCTTAAAGTAACAGGAAAGGGGGAGGATGGGCCTCTCCCATCGTAGATCTACAATAAATGTTTCTTACAGAGGCTGGTGCACACTGAAATCCCAGAGCAAGGACAGGCTGAGAGGTACGCCAAGTGCAGCATGGGTGTTATTCTATGCCAGGTGGAGCAAGTCACCTGCTCTCTGGAGTCTGAACCAACTATGATAAAACCAAACATGCTGGTAGAGTCCCAGATACCTGCTCATGCCTTTACCCAGCATCCAGGTTACTCCTATTTTCAGAGCCACCCAGAGAAGGCTAGGGAGGCAGCCAAGCACACACTAATGCAAACCACGTCTTTCCTAAAAGGGCCCCAGGGGAACCTCAGGGCCAACCTGCGTACCAGACAGCCCCTGAACCAGCACCAGCTCACCAGGCCAAAGGAAGGGATTTATCCCTCTTGGGAAGACGGGCAGGAGAGTCTACTCTGATAGGTTAAGATGGAAGGCCCTGTGGCTTCCAGAAACTGTGGATTTCCCAGCCACTGAAGCTCAATCCAAAAGGCAATGACATCAGCCCAGCTGATGTCCCTGGAATGCATGGCCCTTGCAGAATACACCCATTTCCCCATCATCTCCTCTCCCTGACCCTGACCAAGGGTTTCTGGCCCAACACCGACACTGACACTTAGATCCACAGTGA